ACTGCCGCATGCTCGTAGGAGCTGGCGCTTCAAAAACCGCCTGCTTCCACCGCAGACGTCGCCTTGGAAATGGCGCCCAGATAGGTCTGGGCGGGGAATTGAAGATAGGGATAAGCTTCCGCTTATGAGAATTAATATTGTTCAGTTGCGAATATGTAGCGCTGCTCGGGTGAGCAACTTGTGCACCGAAACCGGTCGCAGAAAACAGGCTCGAAAGGGTATACCAACAGCCTTATACCTAAACCAAAAGAATTGATAAAGTGATGACACGGTAGACGTGCTGCGCGCTTCCTTGTCCCCAAATCCTAGAGCTGTAGCGGCGCCACAAATCTGTGCCACCCGACGAGCAGCCTTTGCGAAAAGGTTCGCAGCCCTTTCAGCATTGACTTCGGGACCAGCTTCATTAGCTGGGGCCAGCCAAACGTGTGTGCAAGCTTGAGCTTGAAAGTCAAGCCAAAGCTCCAACCATTGCCATGTGATGCTGGAGTCTGCGTCTGCTAGGCACTGCTAGGTCCCATCTTAGGTTGCGGAACCGCCGCCAATTGCTGGGCACAGCTCCTTTGAAAAAACGGTTTACACGTCTGAATGCTTTCTGCTTCCAAATTCCACGGGTATGTTGGGAAAAGACCCATGACACAAGCATCTGCTGGGTTCAAACGCGCAAAGTCAAGAACAGAGCATTCTTCCTGCTCCTGTTTGTGCAGTGGCTCAGGCTCACCCGAAAACGGCGGTCCAGTTCAGCCTGACCAAGTCTCTTACGCTCAGCTTCACGTGCACTGAGGATTGCAATGAACATGCGCTGCAAACTACATGCAAAGTCGCCTCTAGGTTCGGCATGCGTTACCAACACGAGGCCGCACTGGCGTGTGCACTCTGGACTTGTTGCTTCATCAAATTAGGGGACAACTTGCGAAAATGGGCACGAAGTCTTTCCCATGCCTTACAGTGCCAAAAAATATGCGTAACAGTCTCGGGCGAGGACTGACAGAAGGCGGCAAGGACTTGACTCGCATTTATATATGGGCAAGTACTGGTCTTTCAGGTGACTGAACTGCACCCACCACTGAGAAGCACTCTCCTATCGCGATGCAAAACGCATCCGCGATCTGCTCACGTGGACACGATCCATCTGCTGCAGAGGCCTTCATCATCTGTTTGATCACCTTGGAAGATCTTACACATGGCAGTGGCGGCTGATCCCAACCCGCTTTTGGGGGGAATCCGCCCCAGGCATTTTGCCACTACCCCAGCACTTTGGCCGCATGTCCGTATTCTGCTGGTAGGTATCCACGTAACCTATTAGCGCAGTCCAAAAACTGCTGGCTGTGGAGTTTCTCTTTGAGAGGTGGAAAGTCAATCATGGCTTGGCAGCTGCCGTTCCGCACGATGTTGTGACCAAGAAACGTTTTCCTTCGGTGACGCACACCTCGGCATTATTATCGCCGAAGGAGAAGCCAAACAGATGGACTTGTCCAAAAACGCCTCTAAAGTCTAAAGAGGCCAAATGGTCTGTCAGGTGACTACAGGCGTCCGGATGGGGACCACGCAGGTCTGGCCCAGCATATCATAGTAGTAGTCTGCGGGAGGCTTTTCCATCATCTTCTCTAGTCCCAGTCCTTTTTTTATTCTACGCTATGATAGTTGCGGCTGATTGACGTGTCAACCACGTTCGGGGAACGTTCTGGCGAAGCCAGCTCGTGACCGGAGGCAATTCGAGTACGCTGGCCCCACGAAACCACATACACAATCTCCAGTACCACGCAGGCCATACGAAACCACATGAAACATCTCGAGTACCACACTGGCCACACGAAACCGCATGAACATCTCGAGCACCCCGCTGGCCACACGAAACCACATGAAACTCAAGTACCAAGGCTGGCCACACAAAACCACACATGAAGCGCTCCCGGAACCCGCTCCGGAACCCGCTCCGGAACCCGCTCCAAAACCCAAGGGCTGAAGACCCCATCGCTTCGCTGTTGGGGAAAAAGGTTCGGGGATTCAGTCTAGAATTAACATATCGTGACTATAAGGGAGCACTGTCAGACCCCCATGTTCAGCGTTCGACTGCATTGCGCAGGGCGATTCGCCTTCGACTGCCTGCGGCGAGCTTTGGGCCAGAGACCTGGGCGCAGCTGTGTGCAGATCTCGCATCGCAACGTCTAAGGTGCGAGGCGTCTCCGCCTTCTTCGCCAATCCCTCTTCGTTGGGGTAGGCCCGCTCGGCATTGCTGGCTCTGCCCTGCAAAAGAAACTTGAAACGTAAACCCCAAACCAATGGTTACAGGCTGCGCCTGCATTCTAGCGTGCCAGGACCATCACCGGCTGTCGAGGAGGCAGCAGGGAGTGGTGTGTGGTTTCGGGTTTATGATTCAGGGATGACGATCTTGGTCATGGTGGGTGTATCCTGTTAGAAGTTCGAAACATGTGCTGGCTCGCCAAATCATGTCATTCACCTGGTCTCATGGGCAGGACATGGCCAACGTTTGCTGGGACTCTCTGCAGAAGTTGTGGCAAGATCATCTCGACGGAGGATACGAGCGAAAGCCAGGTGCAGGTTCGCAGACAAGGGTGCTTTGAATGGCCGAGGCTGTAGCTGGGATCACGGACTAGGAGGTCCTGTCACAACTACGTAAAGTCAGAAGCCACGCAAGCATGAGCAGGATGAGGCAATGCTGGCAGAAGCACCTGCCAGCTGTGCCGAGCTTACTCCCTGCTGTTTGGTGCAATGGGAAGGCAGCAGACCTAGCACAAAATTCATTCAAGGGCCCTAACTACTTGGAGGTTCATGGCTAGTTATAAGTAGGATTATAAGTAGGGTAACTATAATTATAACCCCTATTAGGGGACTTATGACTCCACTTATAACTACCCATGAACCTCCAAGTAGGTCGCATGTGAAGTAGAGACGAAGTGTGTTCTCCCACGAACGTGAACTCAGGTGTCATGCAGTCCGAACCTGCCAGAGTCAACTATATGGTAGTCTTGAGGTCTGCAACACCGGAGAGTTTTGTACACTGTACCTTTGCTGGCACCGGCTTGAAAACCACGTATCAGCCTGGGTGGAAACGAGTTGGTGTTTGGTATTGGCCTGTCACATTAGACTCTCTGGCTTTGTGGGTTTGGAGTTTTTGGGTGCAGCAGAACTCGTGCTGCAAAGGCCAAAACTTAAATCTCCTAAACCCTATATTTAACCTTTTTCCCTGTCCCCGGCTCCCAAAAAAGGCCCTAGGAAGGTGGGGGATGGAGGTCAAGAAGTGCCGGTTGCATGTGCACGATCACTTCAAGAGCTCCCTGTTTAGTAATCCCAACTCAGCCTGGCTTGCAGTAGCATCTTCTAGGAGGCTAATGGTCTTGGGCCTTGAGCATGTGTGTTTGTATATAAATGTGTGTGTGTGTGTGTGCGCGCCTGTTTTTGTTTCTTTGTGCAAAGCTTGCAGCCGGGAGGCTTCTCAGTGGAGGTTCCGCACTTCACGGCTGTTGAGTCGCCATTCTCTCGCTCTCTCTCTCCCTGTGCCTGTCACCCACGTTCGTAGCGAAAACCCAATTTGTGTTAATGCTAATGCTCCACGGCTACTTCGGATCCCCCTGCCACTTGCTTGTGGGGGCCATGCATTCTGCAGAGCTCGGAAGGGGTCGAGGAGAGTCAGAGTGATGAGAATCATAATCATGTCAGCTACATACAAGGGAGTTTCCAAAAATTACGGTACCTTATTTGGGGGTTCTTATAATAAGGATCCTACTATTTAGGGTACTATATTAGGGTCCCCTATTTTCGGAAACCCCCACAAGGTTCTGGATCCTGAAAGCTGCCGACTGCGCAAAGAGGTTTGCAGACCTCCGCGTCGTTTTGACATCCACGAGGCTCTGGCAAAGGCGACGAGGCCGGACGGCGAGTCGTAGTTGCGGGTCTCCCACTGCTTGGAGGTTCATGGGTAGTTATAAGTAGGATTATAAGTAGGGTAACTATAATCACAACCCATATTAGGGGACTTATAACCCCACTTATAACTATCCATGAACCTCCAAGTGGTCATGTTTTTGTGCGTCCTTGTTTCATCGCCACTGAATCCTTCGAGGACGACAGCGTGGGCCTCTACACTTCTCGTAGGGAAGTGGTTATGACGGGTGTGCTCGTCCCTGTTTCGAGCGCGGGCACGATCACTCTGGAGTTGCGCATCAGACAAGACGCAGGGGAGCACCTTCAAAAACCAGGCAGACCTCCTTCAAGTTATGCTGCGCAGATCATCAGTGCCGGGGGCTTTCTGGCGATTGAATGGGCACATCGCTTCTCCTTCGAGCTCGAAGGCACCAGCATCTTTGAGGCGAATGCAGTTCTCTCTTTTTTGCGCTCTGCTTTCTGGTCGTGGTGCTCTTCATTGCAAGGCGAGGCTCGATAAAAATCCGGCGCCTCCCAAGATCTCCCCTCCGAGGGACTCGGTGGCTCGTGGGTTTCTCATGACGAAAGAGCTTCGAAGGCTTCTTTGAGGCTCGATGGCTTTGGGTTTGATAAAAACCCCTAACGCTTCCCACAAAAGCGAGGCCCCCATTTCCACAAGAGGCCACTAAGTCTTTCGCACCTCCCATCGCGGAGCCCTGCGACCAGGTACCCACGTTTCCTTCGGCTGGAGTTCTTAACTTCTGCATCTCCGAAGTGGCCGGGTGCTTCTGTCTGCCGATCAAAAGTGACACGAAACACGAGTGATGTAGGGGTCCAAAAAAATTCCAGTACCCCTCGTCATAGGTATATGAACACATGTCCCCAAACCCTCCTCTAATCATGAAGACCCCTACAGTATTTTGCCCAGCCGCCTGCCAATCTTGCGAAAGGTCACGTGCCAAAGGAGCCTGTTGACACATGCGCATGTTTTCGACTGGTGGGAAAAGTCCCACTATTTGCGCCTCCATGTTTGGATTTGGGTTGAAGGGTGGGTTTGGGACTGAGGTTGTCGACATGCTGAAGCCCTCTCGTAGCCACCAAGGCATGGTCCCTCAACCCGAAACCCCGAGTGTAAAGGTTAAACCCAGCATACTTATAACCCCCAAGGTCTGCTCTAATCATGAATGCCCTTGTATTGGACAGTCGTCCCACCAAAGTGAGTGTTAACCAGCGGCCAGAATCTAGAGCGAGTCGCCGCAAGCCACAGCCGGCTGTCACGCGCATCGTTTGCGCCACACTGCGGAAGGGCAACTCAAGCTTCAGCGACAAGTACTCCTGGCTTTGTGATACACCATGGTGAGCAACGTAACAGGGTCGCACGGGCTCATGAATAAGCTACCAGTACATCATGTTCAACCGCCTGTGCTTCGTACTGCAATCCGTGGGGCCGGCACATGCATTGAGCAAATGGCTTGCAAGCCGCGTGGCAGGCTTGGACATGAATACTCTGCGACCTGAGACGGCTGGTTGTACTTGGAGGTTCATGGGTAGTTATAAGTAGGGTTATAAGTAGGGTAACTATAATTATAACCCCTATCAGGGGACTTATAACCCCACTTATAACTACCCATGAACCTCCAAGCAGGGTGCTTCATCTGCCGCTGGCGCTTCTGATGTTCGCCGCACTGCTGCGCTGCAGGTGGTACGGGGGTCCTCTTTCGTGGTGGTAATCCTGTGCATGAAGTGGATGTCAGGGCCAAGCCATGGTGATGACGAAGTCGATGATGGTGACGCTTATCTTGCGAAGCGGCAGAAACAAGGACTTCTGTTAAGCATGGTTTTCGTAGTCCTTGGATGAACGGTCATGGTTCAGAGCAGCAGTCGTGATGATGATCGTCCTCATTAACCTGTGTGCACACCGTCCTCCTCGTCCTCGTCTTCATCGTTGTAGTCTGCATTGCGTGATCGGTTCAGCATGGTGGGCAGTAGTACGCAAGGCGAACTCTAACAAACAGGTGGCTCTTAGTCAGCTGCTGCAAATATGGGGTGCTGCCTGTCTTGGGCCGCTACTAACTGTTGACTTCTCATGCGCGCAACCGAGACCACAGGCAGCTGCCCTTTTTGTGGCCTCATGCCCCGCGCCTGCGAGCTGGCAGACGCTTTGCCAAAACGGGTGCACAGAATTGCACAGTAGGGAACCACTTGGAGGTTCATGGGTAGTTATAAGTAGGGTAACTATATTTATAACCCATATTAGGGGACTTATAACCACACTTACATAACCCCACTTACAACTACACATGAACCTCCAAGCAGGCAGTAAGTGGCCATCCGTAGGCTATGATTTGTATGCATGCCCTCCAGAGATGTCCCATTACAAGGAGTGTCAGCTCAGGTATACCAGTGGCCCGGTTTGGCGTGGCGACCTCCGCCAAGCCCAAAGCTCCTGTTGAGGAGGCGGACAAGCAATTGCGTGCTTGTCTGCATATATATATATATATAGATATCTATATATATATATATATATATATTCATGTATGTATGTATGTATGTATGTATGTATGTATCTATATGCAATGTATGTCATGCACGCATACATAGAGAGATGTATGCGTATATCTATATAGATATGTATCAGTACGCTTATCCATTCAAATGTTTGTTTGCCATTGTTGACCCGAGATACAAATGTACTTCCATGTCTCTACCCACTGCGGTTAGAGTTGCCAGCTATGCGGCTTATGGGTTGTGTGCTTCAAGCCCTTTGCAGAGCCTCTTTGCAATGTAGACGTCACATGAGCAGGTATTTGCCTTGCCAGCATCTTGGCAAACACAATGCCTTGAATCCTGTGCACCGGCATCATCAAACTTTGCCGAAACATGCGAAATGCTGCTTGCTGTCAGACGAGGATGGTACTGTCGGCGGGAGCTGTCGACCCCGCAATCCGAACTCGTTGAGGGTTTACGGTTTGGGGTCTCGTAGTGTCCTGATGAGCGCCCTTCCCCGTTCATGCTGAAGTTCCATGTCGAGCGCAGGAATCACTCCGAGCTTCTTTTCCTGTAATCGAGGCACCTTAAAGGACCCTATAACAGTCTCAGAAAGGACTCGCGCAAAAGCACGCATGGCCGTCTTTTAATCCAAAAAGCGCAGGCCATTGATCCGACGGCGTACCGAGAGAACCGGATCAAACAGCTCAAGGAGGTGCCAGGGCACGGTTCCGGGCTTCGGGGTTTCGGGATTCCGGGCTGATCTGGGATTCCGGATTGGGGGTTTAGGGTAGGGGTTTGTCAGAGCAAATAAGGAGCCAAGGTTTTGAGTTTATCTGTTCTAGTGTTGGATCCTCACCCCCGCTTTGCCTTTTCCAGGCTGGAGTGGAAGCATATCCACATTCCTGGGACGTCAATGCCACGGTTTCAGAGCTCATCAAGAAGTTCAGTGACCTCGAGGACGGCGAGAGGCGAGACGAGGTGAGGATGAAAATCTTCAGAAATCTAGGGCCTGAGTAATTAGAATGGGGTTTTGGGATATATCTTGGGATATATCATACTATAAGTATAATAAGGAGCCCCCGAAATAGTATAGGTAATTGTTAAGGCCCCTATATTACATATGTCCGACCGCTCAAAGCTGTTTGGATTTAGGAAGTTTAGGGTTTATGTATTTCCAGACTGCAAGGTGGAGTTCCGAGTTGCCGGTCGTGTGCTCCGGATGCTCGCTTGGCAGCTTTTCGTATTTTTCAGCTGTTGTACAAAGCTTGGGCTTGTAGTCTGTGCTCCTATCCAGGTTG